CAGCACTTGAAACAGTTCCTTCGCAGTTGACTTTCCCAATGCTACACGTCGTCTAATGTCCTGACTGCTGCTTCCATTGGCATCGATTGTAGAACCAAGCAACGTGAATTCCTTGACAACCTCAATCTTCTCTCCATTTATAAAAAACAAAAATCAAACTCACTGCTGTTGAGTCGATCCGACTCATAGCGACCCCTCTTTGGGTTTCTGAGGCAGTATCTTTACGGAAGTAGATCGCCCAATCTTCCTTCCAAGGAGTGGCGGTGGGTTGAACTGCCAGCCTTCTGGTTAGCAGTTAAATGCCTTAGCCACTGTGCCACCAGAGCTCCCTAGCATATAGTAGTTGCTCAATTATGTTGGAGTGAAAAATCATTGAACTTGGCCTTGAAAGCAGAGACTATTGGTTTCTGGTTTAGATTCTCATATATTCAGCCCCTGCTGGGTACCTAACCCTCTTAACCATTATCTCACTTTATCCTGAAAGTTAGGATTCATTGCTTCCAATTTATTGCTAAAGAAACGACTGGAGAGAGAAAATGATTTATCTAAGTAAAGTAGATAAGTTAAGAGAGTCAAGATTTGAACTTGAATCTGTGTAGCCCTGACCCCGAAATTGTTTCCCAGCCTTGCACTGGGCTGAGGACTTCCAGGTGAGTGGTATGAGCCTAAGTTAACAAAAAGCCATTTGGATTAACAGTGAGAGAGAAACCTAGAAAGGCAAGGAGAACCCTGAGCCTAGCCTAGAAGACTTGTGAAGGAAAAAGAGCCATGCAGACCTCCTGCAATTGAGCCCCTAGGCACTGCTTCCTTAAAGAGACCTGGGAACCGCAGCTGCTCACCCTCTTTATTCCCTCATGAATATCCTTGTCTCCTTTCCAGTAGTAGTGACTCCTTCATGCTAGGCCCTGGACCTGGATGATTGGATAGAGAAAGCCTCCCAAATAGAAGGGACAGATAAGTAAACCAACACGATCAAAGAAAAGCCAAGGGACTGTAAAATCCAGAGCAGGCAACTAACCCAGCCTTAGGGGAAAAGTGAAGCCTTCCCAGAATCCTGAAGGATGAACAATTAACCAAGCAGGAGACATGGAGGCATGGAAGATAATGTGGCCCAGAAACCAGAGCATAGCATACTGAAAAAGCTACAGGTCACTCTGTAAGGCAGAGTCAGAAAGGCAAAGGGAGAAAGAATAAGAGTGGTAGAAGAGAGGCAAGTATTGAATTGGGTGAAAGGAAAGGCAATATACCAAAAGCAAGTAACCAACATAATAACACTAAAGACAATGAAGACAGAGAGGTGCACAAGAGGTACAGACAACAAAGATAAGCCTTTTACATACACAATACTGCATTATTGGTGATGACCAACATTAATCTACAGGTAAATAGATGGGTAGATAGACTGAATTATGAGGTATGTCTAGGCTAAAGGGAATATACCCATGACCATATATATAAGGTTGGCAGATGATATTTCTACATGTGTATTTGCATGTGTTGTAAGAATGCCCATAGATATAATAGAGCTAACAGAGGGCAAAGTTATGATAACTTCTTGGCCACAGCCATCCACCCTAAGGGAGTGAGTAGTTGGACCTGTGGGACCATAGTTGCAGGGGACATCAAGCTCAATTGGCATAACATAGTACACAGAAACATTGTCTTACATCCTACTTTGGTGAGTAGGGACCGAGGTCTTAAAAGCTTGCAAGAGACCATCTAGCTGCAACAATGGATCTCTCCTCATCCACAGCAAAGAAGAATGAAGAAAACCAAAGATGTATGGAAACAATTAGTCCAAGGGACTAGTGGACCATGCAAACCTCAGCCTATATGACCATGAGACGAGAAGAACTAGATGGTGCCCGGCTACCACTGTATCACTCGGAAAGGGATCAGTGCAGGAGATCCTGGACAGAGTGAGAGAACAATGTGGAACAAAACTCAAAATCATTAAAAAAAAAAAAGACCAGGTTTACTAGTATGATAGGGCCTAGTGAGACCCCTGAGACTATGACCCCCTAGTAACCCTTCAGGTCTGGAATCAAACTCAATCCCATGGCTTCTAGCCAAACAATAGACAGGAATATAGGGTGAACATTTACATCAGGTAGATACACTCCTCAGAGTGATCAATCATGGGAGATCAGAAGGGCAGTATTTACAGAAGGAGATAGCCCAGGGGGCAGGAACGCATAGGGAAGAGGTAACTATAGGGAAAAAGTAGGAAGAGAGCTGTTACATTGTGGGGAATTGGCAATCAATAACATGAAACAAAATGGTATGAACTACTGTATGAAAAATGAGTTTGCTCTGTAAATTTTCACCCAAATCACAGTAACAATTTTAAAAAATAATAATAACAAAAAAAGAGTGGTGAAAGAGGCTAGAAAAGTAGACAGGGCAGATCAGGGAAGGCTTGAATGCCATGTTGCCAATCTAGGGAGAGAACCATTAAAGGCTTTAAAAGAGGAGACAAGTTAAATTTTACACAATAGGAAGATACCACTGTGTGTAGTGTGCGGGGAGAGAAACTGTAGACTAGAAGACCAGATGGGAAGCAGCTGCAAATTTAGAGAGTTTATGAGATTATAAGGGAGCTCTGGTGGCACAGTGCCTAAGGCATTTTACTACTAACCAGAAGGCTGGTGGTTCAAACTCACAAGCCACTCCTCAGAAGGAAGATTGGACAATCTCCTTCTAAACCCAAAGAGGGGTTGCTCTGAGTCAGATCCGACTCAGCACTGTGCCTGCCTCTGGGTTCACTCAGACAGCTCACACATGGCCCCAACCCTGGTCACTCCACTGATAAAAACTGTAAAAGTTATAATGGGGATAAACCACTGCCATCTAGTTGATTCTCATAGCCACCCCCTATAGAGTTTCCAAGGCTGTAAATCTTTCTGGAAGCAGACTGCCTCATCTTTCTCCTGGGCAGTGGCTGGTGGGTTCCAACCATCAACCTTATGGTTGGCAGCCAAATGCTTTAACCACAGTGATAATGGGGATACAAAGAAGGAAGTACTCTTGGGACAAAGAAGAAAGAATAAGCAGGAAATATACAGGGGTTGAGATGAGATTTAAGAAGATTTAAAAGTAGAATCTGCAGGATCTGGTGATGGATTAAGTGTGAGGGATGGAGGACAGGGTGGAATCAGGCCGACTCTCAAGTTTCCTGAGTCGATGGTGGTATCCCATTATAAAGCAGGCACCCAGGGGGAAGGCTCCCGTTTAAACTTGTTGAGTTCAATGTTGGCAGCGTGGGTATGCGATGCCTGTGGACGCTCCACATGTCCAGCAGCCAGTTGAAATGCTGGGCATCCTCTAATAACAGAACTGCAGATGGGCTAGGCTGGGGGCGACTGTTGGGAGTTCGCGGTGGGATCTCCCGCGGGCGACCTGGAATTCTGATGCTACCGCAAAGCCCCAGCCTCGGCGCGGTAGCCTTAGGGCAGCCGCACGGAAGCCGGGGCCGGGGCCCGAGCTCTGGGGCGGAAGGAGCCCGCAGTGGGTGGGGGCTTGGGATGGGGTGGGAGGGTCCAGCAGCCGCTAAACCTGGGACCGGTTGGCCTTGCGGGCGGTGGGAGGGACCCTGGGGCGGCCCCAGCCGGTTGCTACCGGAGTATGAGCTGCCATTTCCTAGTCCCACTCTAGTCCGCCCCCCCAATGAACTTTCACCCTCGCGCGCGACGGCGGCAGGTCACGTGATCAGGGCCAACATGGCCGCCGCCGCCGCGACTGGGAGCTGAGGCGCCGCCGCCGCCGGGCAGCCGGGGGGAATCCGCCCGCATCGCCGCCCTCGCCGGCCGGGCGGCCGCGGGGCCCGGAGAGCCGGAGGCCAGGGCTGGGCGGCACCGCGCAGTGGCCACGGGGTCCCGTTAGAGCAGCCCCCGGCGGCTATGCCGAGGGCTCGGAGCGGTCGGCGGAGCAGGGGGGCCGGCGGGAGGGAGGAAGTAGGTTTGTTTACGGGCTGTTTGGGGCGGGGCAGGCCTGGATGGGGGTCGGGTGCTGGGGCGGGGGCCGGGACTTCAGGCCGCGTTTGACGCTCATGTTCTTTTTTTGCATTTGCCCGGGCTCTTCTTCCAGACTTTCCTGCGAGTGCGAGCCAACCGGCAGACCCGACTGAATGGTAAGTCCTTCCCGGCCCCTCCCTCCGCCCCACCCCCGGCCTCCTCCCTCCCTCACTGCCTGCAGCTCCTGGTTGCCTCGGTCTCTTCGACATTGGGGCCCATTGGCTTCTTCGCAGTCAAGACGCCTGGGTATGTGCAAACCAACGCGACTGCCCTCAGTTTCCCCGCCTGTCTAATGGAGGTTATGGTTCCCAGCTCCTGCCCAAGCCTCTCTAAAGGCCCTGAAAAATCCCGAGGGGCAGTAAGTGCCGGAGAATGAGAAACAAGCCACACAATTCCACTCGAGAACTCAGCTTTGAATTTGCAAACTGCAGGGACCTCACTGTTCAAGCCGGCAGGGCGCTGGGAATGTTTTTCTTACAGTTTTTAATCAGTGCCTAGTAGTGTGAATACAGCCTCTCTGCTGAGACTTGACAATGCAGTGAGATCTGGAGTTCCCACGGCAACAGGAACTTACTCATCCCAGGGCTCTTTGAGTTATCAGTCGGCCCACATTTCATAAAGGTGATCAGCGTGGGCTCGACAGCTCTTAGAGGCCTTTTCTGAAAGCATGCCGTGTATGCACTACCTGGCGGCTCTCCCTTTTGGATTCAAACCTCCGGAGCATTACTCTTTGCTAACACAATTGAATGATTCTAGCTTTTTGTGCTGACTGGGGTGTGGTATATGTGGGGTTGGCCAGAAGGGGCTTAGGGTCTCTTGGACAGCTGCACATTCAAGATCCCCAGTTCCTGCCACTTGGCTTCTGCTACCACATTGTATCCCAGTCTGGCAAAGTGAGAGTACGATTATGGGCTGGCACCATGTTAAGCACCATTTTCACAACATACATTTTGTAGATAAGGAAACCAAAGCTCAGAGAGATCAAGGTGATTTGTTTAAAATCACACACTTGGGATGTAACTTAGCTATGATTTGAACTTAAGTTTACCTCCAAAGCCTGTGCTTCTCTTACCATACTATGCAATCTTAGCCAATACTTTGACTGTAGGTGGAGGTGACTATCCTCTAGGTAACTTAAAAAGCAAAATTTTCCCTACCAAACTTTAGTAAGCTTAGCTCAGGACTTAGAAAATGGGATGGTGAGGGAAAAACCAAGCCTGTCTTATTTATTTGGCAGTTGCCAGGTGAAGCTCAATCCACTAGGGTGTTTCCTGGGACTGCCAGAGATCTTTTCTGCTCTGGTGGCTTAGTGCCTAAGGCATTTGACTGCTAACCAGAAGGCTGGTGGTTCAAACCCACCAGCCACTCCTCAGAAGGAAGACTGGGCAATCTACTTCTGTAGAGATACTCCTTCGGAAACCCAAGGAGGGGTTGCTGAGTCAGAATTGACTCAATGGCATTGAGTGGTTTATTTTGGAGTTTTAGTTGTCGTAGGCAAGGAGCATATCCAGTATTGTGTCTTCCTAGGCAATTGTTCTGTGAAATTCTTTATTCATTTATCAGTATCTTAACATAGGTTTCTTCTTTCTAGGGATTTTCCCTTAGACTCCTAGGCAGCGTAGGTGAGGGACCTTCTTACTGGCACACTGCCCCATATTAGGCTTCTAGAACTGTCAAGTTTCCTTGCTCAGTGGTAGCATCCCTTGTCTATTCCAGCCCTGTCTCTTGACATATTAAGGCTGCTCAAGCCTGAGATTCCAAGGGTTAAGGCAGCCAAGGCTGAGGCAGTGGGATATTTGTCCACAAAATCTAGTGGTACACCACATATAGTCACATTTCCTGTCATGAAAAGATGGGAAATGAAGAGATGGGCTAGGCTACAGACCAAAGCTTCTCAGACTCCATGCTTGTCTTGGTAGGTTGGTGACTTTCCTCTTGGATTGGGTTCTTCTAACCTAGTCTGTTTTGGAGTTACAGTAGCTCTTTGCCTCAGACCTGAACAGGCAGAGCGGGATCCCAAGTGCCCAGAGGGAAGGCCTCAACTCAACTGCATATTCTTGCTGCCTAGCACACTCACTGGGATCAGTCTTTGTTGATGCTGGTCAGTTGGAGGAACCCTTGTGATAAAAGAGTGTTCTAGGCTATGGTTAGGCTAATCAGATTGGTTTCCTTTACTGCCTTTGCCACTTTTCAGGTACTTGGACAAGTGACTCTCTGAGCCCCAGGTTTCATCTGTTATAATGGGGTAATGCAACCTAGCTTCATGATAAAGAATTCATTGAGCTACCTTGCATAAGGTACTTGGCTCCGAGCCTGACAAAGTAGAAGCTCCGTAAATTGTAACATCCGCTCTCACCTGTGTCCCCCTCCATAAACTGTATTCATGAGCATCCTATCACTTTGCATCAAGGTCAGTGCCCATGACAAAGCTCTTCCTGGCACTGCAGCAAGGAACCTTTCCTTCTTTGGCTGGCTGTTCCCCTCCCCTGCCCCCATCAGTCTGGTGTGAGTGGCTATCTCTGATCATGCTGTTGCATCCAGGGAGGTGCAGGAGGGAACAGAGTCCCTTGTTTTGACCCCTTCCTGCTTCAGTGACAGGAGGGCTGCAGAGAGGGATTAGTGAGCTAATTAGAAATGATTGCATCTCTCAGCATTAATTAGTAGTGCTGTGGGCTTGCAGTGTGCACTTTGGAACTGAGCCCCCTGCGGGACAGCATGGCAGGCAGCCCTCTGCCTCTAGGGCCTGCCAGCCCCTCCGCACTGATTAGAAATGATGGAACAGGTTTGGGTAGCACAATAAGGGCTGCCTTCTCAAGGTGCCCTGGGCCCTCTGACCTGGATGCCCAAGGTCTGATCCAGACCCTCTGTACCATTATGACTGACACTCAGTCTCCTGTCCTGTAAAATGGGACTAGCGGACATCAGAGAAATTCGTCCTGGGTTGATTCTAGGCAGTGCCTAAGGGCTGTACCATGGTGCTCTTGGCCCAGGAAGAATGAGGGTTTTAGCTAATGAGTGAGCAGCAGGCCATATTAGGCCCTTGGAGGGAGCTTGGGTTCTGGCCAAGAGCCATTCTCAAGAGCTACATGTTCTGACACCAAAAGAGCTTGTGGTCTTGGGCTTCTGGGGAGATAATCTAGCGACATGGGGTATCTTTGCCCATTGGACTCACTAAGCACTGCAGATAGGTGGTGTGGGTTGAGTTTGAGCAAGCTGGGGCCAAAGAGCAGATGCTTCCCTGGCTTAGCACCAACCTCCTCCCCAGGTGCTTTTGGCAAGACTCAGTCCCCCAGGGAGGAGAAAGTATTATAACATGAGGGCCATATCAGGCACAAACAAATGGGCTAATAGCTGGCAGGAGGTCAGGCTGTGTCAGCCCCCCTGGGACCTGGGAGCTACAGTGACCAACTGCCTTGTTCTGTGCTTTGTTTTCGGTTTCTCCATGCAGCTCGGATTGGGAAAATGAAACGGAGGAAGCAAGATGAAGGGCAGGTATGTCCCCTGTGCAACCGCCTCCTGGCAGGATCGGAGCAGGAGATGAGTAGGCATGTGGAGCATTGCCTTTCTAAGGTAGAGGGGCTACCACCTTCCCATCCCTCCCTTCCTTCCCCTAACACTAGTTGTAGACTGCCCCCAGATCTGTGGGCTGTTGGGGTCTCTGTGTGGTCTCAGCAGCTTCTTCCCCTCTGTCCTTTGCCTTCTTTTGTTTCACTCTTTCCCATTTCCCTTGGGTCCAGTGGAATATTACTGGGAACAAGGTCAGGTCTTTGACCTCTAGATTGATTTCCTTCAAAGTCTTAGAACCAGGGGCCCATATGGCATAACACAGCTGGGGCCAGGGCAGTGCCTTCCTTGCTGGCCCTGGGGGGTGGGTAGGCCTGGCCTGGGCCCCACATGATCCTGCTCTGCTCTTCAGAGGGAAGGCTCCTGCCTCGCTGAGGATGATGCTGTGGACATCGAGCATGAGAATAGCAACCGTTTTGAAGAGTATGAGTGGTGTGGACAGAAGCGGATACGGGCCACCACTCTCCTGGAAGGCGGCTTTAGAGGTACAAGCAGTTGACATGGGCAGTGGCATTCTGGTAGCCAGGCCTCTGGTGGGTAGCCATGTATTGGGGGCCAAGAGACCCGGGCTGGTGGCTGGTCATCCATTCCACCACATGGGTACTGCTGCTGGCGGGGTTCCTTTGTGACCGTGCTGCGTGCCTGTGATGTGCATATTAAAATGGATGTATTTGGGTGGGGAAATGGAATTGTGAGGCTGCAAGCTAGGAGTGACGAGGGGGGCTCTCGGCCTCGGGTGATGCATTGAAGGTGACAGCCAAGCCGCGTTGGCACCTGCATAAAATATTAAAGGGACGGTTATGCATTTATCACTCCATCCCTCTTAAGGCTGATAAATGAGAATCCAGCAACCTGCTGTACACCTCCAGCACTGGGGGCCCTGAGGGCTTCCAGGCAAACACATTGGATTTTCCTCCTCCTCCTCAGCCCCATGTCAGGGAAATCAGTTACAGAGGAGAGAGTGAGTTATGGCAAAATTTGACCTCCCATGAGCTTTATTGGTGAATCTAATTTTAGCTCTGATCCCATCCCTGAAGCAAGAGGGGCCAGGCCCACCTGCTCCCTCCTTCCCTTGGGCTCTTCCCAATTGCTGTAGAGGGACCTGGCCATCTCCAGTGCCCTCCCAGCTCCTTGGAGGGCCATAGCTTGGCCTAGTGGAAATCTCTTACTCCCACCCATTCAGAGAGCAGAACTAGATGGGCACCCAGGGTCAGTAATCCCTAGTCAAAGTCTGCTTAGGTAGGGGAAAAGGGAACTGCCTGCCTCCTGGCCTCTAGCTCTTCTCTCTGTACAAGAGCACATCTGGCACTGCACCTTGTGGTCATTAAGTGAGCCAATCTGCTTCCTGTCTGCCTCCAGTTCTCTGGGCAACACCCTTGGGAGTGCTGCTGTGTCTGGTCCCTGGGGACTCACCATAGCTAGGAGGACAGTCTGCCTCCTTGAGGTCATGCTGCTTGTGCTTGTGCTTGTGCTTGTGCTGAGGGGTGGTCTCCACAGTGACATCCAGTGCAGACTAACATCCAGTGAAGAACCCACATGAGGCATTATGCCACTGGGCTTGTCTCAATTACCTGAGCTGTTGGGGACAAGCTAGGTGTAAATAGGAAGGCTGTTGTTGTTACATGCCGTCGAGTCAAACCCAACTCATAGTGGCCCCTTCTTGGGTTTCCGAGGCAGTATCACTACGGAAGTAGATTGCCCCATCTTCCTTCCGATGAGTGGCTGATAGGTTTGAACCGCCAACCTTCTGGTTAGCAGTCAAGTACCTTAGGCACTGTGCTACCAGAGCTCTTCAAATAGGAAGGCCAGTCAGACCAAACCATTTCCCTGAGCATCAGCACTGAGTTGGATAGTGCTCATCTGCGGTTCACTCCAGGCCTGTCCTGGGGTTTTAGAGTGTTTAAGGCCCTGTAAGGATGAGCAGTAGAGCCCAGGATTCTACAAGGTAGATGCACAGAGGTGGCTGATGGCACTCCGTGCAGGGTCAGTTCCAGGATGCTGTTCTGGGTTAGCTCTGTTGGCAGCTGCAGCTGTTCTCATCTTCCATTGCTGTGGTGACTTCTTAGTCAGGATTCTTGGCACAGCATTGGGCCTGATGGCTTCTGGGCACCAGGCAGGGCTTAAAGGGGATAAAGCTTCACCAGGCCTGCTGATTTGACAAAGTATTTCTCCTGTGCTGGGATGCACTTACAGAGCGGGTATGAGGGGCTCTTAGGCCCTGGGCGGGTGTCAGTTTTCCCTGAGTGTTTACACTGTGAGGTGGTTCCTTTCAAGAATTCCTGAGGGGAGTTCAAAAGGGGCTTTTCTTTGAGCGATTTGGAGAGCCAGAATGAGAGTGAGACTTGAAGAGGGAACAGGGGCCGGAGGTGCCTTTATCTGCAGAGAATTGCTCCAGCTTTCCTGATAGAAGCCGCTGCTGCCTCTTAAACAGCTTAGTGCAGTCAAAAGACAGGCAGACATGAAAGGCTGTTTTACAGCAAGATCAGCGGGGGCCATGAGACAGAGCAGGGCGCAGTGGAGCTGGCGGCTGAGGCTCCTCAGTGGGGGGAGCTATCAAAGGAAGGCCTGGCTGATCCCCACTGCCTATGCCCCCAGAATCCTGTCTGCAGAAGCTGGCCATCTGTTGGGCTACCCTCCCTGGACAGCACCGAGAGGCCCCAACTCTTGGGGGGCTGGGTGTGGCCCCGCCAGGCGGGCTGGTGTCAGTGCAGCGCATTGATCGCCCGCCGGGTAGGCCGGGCCGCAAGCCGGGCAGCGTGTGCTTAATGTGATTGAAAGGCAGTTAAAATGGCGGTGACCTTTTCAGGAGGAATTAGATTGCCTGCCAAGACCGGTTAGAGGGAGTGATAACGCTGGCTGAAGAAGCTGCCCAGCAGACTTCAGAGAGAGGGAGGCAGAGGCAGGATGAACAGGCGAGCGGCGAGGCCCATTTAAGCTGCGCTGTGCGTGCTGACAGAACAGAGATTGCTGTCCTTGTTAGATATGAAAGAATTGAAGAATTGCAGATAAGTTCCTGTATCCGATCATCCTCTCTCCCTCCTCCCAGACCACGGCCCCTTCGTCATCAGCAGAGCTTCCCACCAGGGCCAGTGGGAGCTGGTCTCTTGGGTCAAATTAGTTACCTTGAATGTAATCTGTTGTGGGAGACTTGGTGGAGGCACTTGGCTGAGGGGGACAGGCCTTAGATACGATGGGCACCCGTGTTCACTGAGAGGGAGGCTCAGGTATCTCGGGCCTGGGAGCATTTGGAATAGTTGTTTTAGAACAGAATAAAGGACCAGAGAGAAGAGGTGCACGCCAAGAGAGATCTAGCTGGAAGCAAATTTTTTAGGGACTAAGAAACAGGTAAAGATTTCAAGAGAGCAAGTTGGCAGAAATTTTGGGCATCTAGAAGATAGATACTCTGGCCTTTCCGGTTCTAGGAGAAATCCTGAGCTGTATGCCCAGGCTATTGATTTTTCTCTTAGAACCACAGGTTTTATAGCATGCTACTGCTGTTTCTCCCCCATCCCGAGTTGTAACTGCTTATCACCACCATTCCCCTAAAAGAGGTCAGCAGTTAGAAGAGGGTGCTCTCCTAGGGCACCATGCCAAACCTGGCAGAGCAAGGGCCTGCTGAGCTAGTGAAGCAGTCACAGGGGAAAACCTAATTATACAGCCCCAGAGACAAGCTTGTACCCCTGCTGTAGTCAAATGAGGTATGTGACAAGTGAGCTACGCCTTTCCTCTCATTTCCTGCATGCAGTACCTGGGCCCTGGAGAAGAGACCTGTTGCAGGGAGCCCTGGTCCTTTCCCTGTATGGGTTGCCAGTGAGAGCTCACCAGCTGGATTTGGAGAGCCCAGGGCTTTGTTGGCACCATCACATCTGGAATGGACAGGCAGGGACAAGCTGGAGAAAGGTCATGGGAGTAGTTGGTTTCAGATAAGTTGGCAGTGATATGGTGGGCACAAGAATGATGCGGTGGAGAAATTGCCCAGGAGGCAGCCCAGGAAATGGAAGGCCTTTGAAGTCGTATCTCTGAGTCCTGGAGGTCAGTGCATTACTAGAATCCAGCACTAAGCCCCTTTGAATCGACCAGGTAGAGGTGAGCAAGAGGGAGAGGTGCTACAGAAAACCAGTTGTGCAGGGCCTCTGCCCTGCCCAGGTCCTGGCCCAGGGACTATACCTTTCTTAAGTTCCTGTCTTAAGGGTTCAGCTGTTTCCAAGTAGCCTGGTGAGGGCAGTCAGGGCAGCTACAGCACTGATCTTTAACTGTCTGTTTCTTGGTAAAACTTTGATGGTAGACTGTGGATCAGTGAAGAGCATTGTGAGTCCAAGGGCACAAGGACATGGCCTTGCCCTACCTGCTGCCATATTTGGAGAGTTGGCTTCTAGAAGATGAGAGTATCTGATGCTGCCCCTCAGCATAGCCCTACTCCCTGGTCCAGTCAGTCAGTGGCAAGTGTTAGAACCGCAGCCTGCTAGAGGCAGTCTTGGAATTGAGAGGGTTATGGCTGCTGCCTCCCCACCATGGTGTAGTTACAACTGTTACCTGTTGGGAGGGGTGAGGAGACGTAGCAAGGAGCAGAGCACCTTCTGTCCCCTGTGGCGACTGACGGGGATTTAATCGCCTTTTGGAACACAATTGTTAAGCTGGGACAGAGGGAGTGCAGGCAGAAGGAGCAAGTATCAATGGTTTTAAACGGCGTCTGTCTCTATGCGTCTCTCCTGACGTGAGGCAGTGAAACGCGTTATCGAGGAGGCCCGGAAAGTGGCTAAGTGCGTTTGACACACGCCAACTCCCTGCCTCCACACTGGATAATTGCATTGTCAACTGTTCAGCGAGGTGGCAGGTGACACTGCAGGCCGATTGATTGTCCCGCATCACAGCTCCCCAGACTGTCAGCTCCCCAATCGATGGCGTTTACACAAGACACCGTAACTGCATCTGTAACTAATTCCAGTGTAAAACTCTCCGGAAGCTGCTGCCCCAGCTTCCCCCACCCCCCAATCCATTGGTGAGCACAGGCCCCAAGATTTTCCTCTCTCCCTGGGTTCTAGTTTTGTTGGGAGCGGCAGGTGAGGAAATCGATGGTTCCTTTTTTGTGGTTTCAGGTTCCAGGATGTTAGTGCCCCCAGTAAACGGGCATCTCTAGTTTCTCAATCGATCATCTGATCAATTGATTAAATTAACACTGATTTTTTTTTTTTTTAATTCTTTCCCTCTTCTCAGTGGCCCAGAAAAGAATGAGTTGATGGGCAAGGGGTCATTTTTATACAATTTATATTTGCTTATCATTTCTGCACTTAACCTTCTCTCCTCCTCTATTGTTAAGTATTTGTTTGGAAAGAAGGGGTTTTTGCCTCTGCTCTCCACAGGACTGGACAACTCTGGCACTACTCTCCTGGGCATGATTGGCCATCAGGTTTAGTTTGCCTGTGGATGGTGGCCCAGCCCTCAATACTCTTTTAAGGTAGGCGTGTCCCTGGCGACTAAAGCGTGCTCTGGGTTATCTTGGAAGCACTGGGTACTGAGCGCTTCCCTGGATAGCAGCAGCAGGAGTGGCAGCTTGCCTGTTATATCTGAAGCCACGTGGAACAGGAGCCAGAGCCTTGGAAGGGAGTTCTCTGTGCCATCTTGCCTCTGAGTACTGGCTTGGGATATTCCAGCAGCTGAGAACATAAAACGACTGTGGAGCCTTCCTTTCCAAGCAAGAGGGGGGCGGGGCAAGCTGGCGGGGGCACTGTCTGCATAAAATGGCTTTATGGCCGTTTCTTTTTATTATGATTCTGCCAGAAGTCAGCAAGTGACATTTCATTAAGAAAATAAAGTTTAATGTGCTGGGAAGGAGGTTGGAGCAGGCTAGGGCAGCACAAGAGTGAAATTGGTGGTGGCAGCCTGTTCTGAACACCTGTGGGGGTAGGGAGAGTATCTCAGCATCTGTCTCCGCTGGGGCAAGGGGTTAGGGTCCAAGTCCACTACTCAGACCAGAGGCAGAAAGGCCTTTTCTTTGGAAAACAAGATACGTCATGCTCTAGTTTGCCTGGGTGTTCAGAGAAGTAGAGGGCTGCTGCCCAGCTGGGGTCTGAATAAGGAAGGTTATATCCTGAGAGATTTCTCCAGGCCACCAGCCCTCAGCCCTCCTTCTGGCACAGAACTCCCCATGTCATAGTAGAACAGTGTTGCCAGCATTTAGCCAGTACTGCTGCAGTATATTTTGTGGCATCTGCTGTGGACCTGGCCAGCTCAGTGCTAGATGATGCTGAGATCACAGCTGTGAATCAGACTTGGGACCTACCTTTGAAGCTCTCAGTCTGGAGAGGGAAAACGACAATACATGGTAAGAAATGTGATCCTGCAATGACACAGGAGTCAGGGTGAATACCAAGGAAGAAACATCTATGAAAACATACCTGGGAAACTCTCATCTACCATCCAGCGGATAAGGGTGGGGAGTAGATTTTGAAACACTGTTCGCAACCAGGGTTTCAAACCAGTTCATTCCCTTCCAACCCCCTGCTGAGAATTTGTATTTCCACCCCAGATATACTGAAGACTTAGAATCTAAAGTTTAACAGGATTCTGATTCAGTATATCTGAGATAGAAATGCAAATTCTCCACAGGGGGTCAGAACACAACCAACTGGAAGCCCTGTTCACAACACCAATCCAGGGGATGAACTCAGTAAAGGTTGGAAGACTGTTGTGAGATGAGGTTTGATTCATTCAGCAAGTAGTTAGTATTTATAGAGCAGTTACTCTGTGTAGGCACTCTGAGTTAGTAGTAGAAGGCATCTTTGAGCTGAGTCAGACTGGAAAGAAAAGGCATTTGCTTTATGGACCAGGAGGGTGAAGGTTCTAGGCAGAAAGAACAGGAGGCATGAATGGTATGGGAGCATGAGAAGACATGTAGGATTTGGGGAACCATGCTAGCTGTATTTCATGGAGTAAGAGTACTGGTTGATGGGTGACAGTAAGACTGCAGTAGAAAGACTTCAGGCCACAGAAGTTAGGACTCTTCCTAGTGGCTTTTGGGTGTCCCGTTCCCTCTTGCTTTGCCACCCGGGCCATGGTGGGCTCCAGAGTCATGTCAGGGTTCTCTGTGTTCCGTTTTCCTACCTACAGGGCAGGCCTGGGCAGGGCCAGGCTGAGCAGAGGATGTAGGCTGGTTACCGAGCTACACATACTTGGGTAAGGGGGGTTGGCAGGGCTTGGGGGCACAGGTTGTAAGTGAACTTGATAGCTACATTCTGATTGATGGCAGAGTTTGTCTCCCAAACTGTCAGAGGGTTTATAGAGGTGCCACTCACCCGTAAGGTGGGAATTGCTTATCAGGACACCTGGCCGTAAGCAGGAGACAGAGCTGTAACTTGGTGTTTTCTCAGCTTAATGGCCTTGCTGCTGACCTGCCTGCTGCCTTAAGTTTGTTGGTGCCTCCGCTTAGTGGGAAAATGAGGACTGTCAGGGATAGGGTGGAGCTAGGCAGTACCTAGCTTCTTTTTTTCCCTGGTGCTTTCTACCTCCTCAGATGGGTAGAATCTTTCTGAGACTGAAGACCAGAAAGGTGTAGAAGGGGGAAGATGGATCAGGAAGAAATTGCTTCAATAAGGAGCCTTTGAAACGGATTAAAAGATGGAGGGAAAACATTCCAGATGGAGTGAATAGCATAAACAGAGGTCTAAGAGCCGGGCATGCAGGGTATATGTCTGAGGCACAGTGAGTAGTCTGCTCATACGCAGAGGTGAAGCGAGGAAAAAAGGGTGGAGAAGTAGGTGGCATCCAGGTCTGAAGGGATCAGGCTGAGGCACCTGGGCACATTGTTCATACAGGGGAGCTATGTCTAGTTTTTGGACAGGGAAAAAAAAGGGCCAGAACTTTATGGTAAGCAGGATGAGGAGGCAGACAAGAGACTTAAAGACCCATTTCAAGGACCTGAGAGTGGGAGGAATGTATAAGAAGAAATTTCTGACACCATCAGGCAGAAAGAATTCAGCTGTTTGCTTATCTCCCTACCCCAAAAAACAACACGTGCACTGTTAATCACTTTTGTGACCCATACAAAAGAATTTTTTTCTATCTTATGTAGGGATATGTTGTTGTTGTTGTTATGGGCTGTTGAGTCGGACCCTACTTACAGCGACCCCTCCTGGGTTTCTGAGGCAGTATCACTACAGAAGTAGATTGCCCCATCTTCCTTGCGAGGAGTAGCTGGTGGGTTTAGCAGTCAAGTACCTTAGGCACTATGCTACCAGAGCTCCCTGTAGGGATATAGAGATACAGAAATGGTCTGATACAATGTTCCCCACAGAATAATAGTTTGACCTCTTGAAGGATTTCCTTGCTGATCCCACTCACCACAGATTCCATCCATTTCGTCTTTTTGTTCCTGGCAAGGCTGCTGTGCTGGCTATGAGATTTGGTCTGAGACCTGCTGGAAGGGTGGGAGGGAAGAAGGCAGGACGTTCTGTGGCCCATGACCCTGGCTATCAGGAAAGGTGGTCCTGGAAGTCGGAGAACCCACATGGCCTGTGAGTGGGCTTGGTGTAACCGTAACAACTCACCCTTCCCCACTAGCTGAGAGTCTGCCTGTGGCAAGGTCAAATGCATTTTGGTGGGGTCATTCGTCCGCATGGCCCCTGCCTCAGCCAAGCCTGGCTGTCTTCACAGACTTCTTTGAGAAGCAGGTGTGCATGCCGAGCTTCCCTCGTCTGTCCCTTCCTAATCCCTTTATGACTGCACTTGTCCAGGAATCTGGGCTGAGTGAGGTGGAGATGAATAATTAATGTCAGGCGCTTCAGACACCAAATATTTGAACAGCTGCCTGATGTTTCTGCTGGCAAGGACCTGGCGGCCAAAATCAGGACGCTGGCTGGGGGTCTCACTCTGTGGCTATGACTGGCCTTAGCAAGCTCGTTCTCCCCTCTTCTGGACTTCTCAGGCTGAACTGTGGGAAGTAGGGGTGGCTCAGGTCCTGAATAGGGGTGACCTTTTAAACCTGAATCTCTCCGTCCTCTATCTGCTCTTCCTAGACTTGGAAGGCAGGCGGACAGTAGGCCTGGGCCTAGATGCCTGCTGAGGACCTGACACGTGCATGAAGGGGCTGGTTTGTGTGTAGAGACCACTTGGAACAGCAGACAGTGGCAGAGAAGCGTAAGGATGAGGTGTGCAGCGTGAAAGGGACCGAAATGTCAAGGGTCTGGTCTCTGGCTCTGCATAACCCAGGCCCAAGTCTGGGCCTTGCATGACCCAAAACCTGACCCCTACCTTGAGGCAACAGAAGGGGCACCCTTGGCCTACTCGTGTTGGCTCCTGGTCCTCCTCACATCCTGCTTCCCACAGGCTCTGGCTTCGTCATGTGCAGTGGCAAAGAGAACCCGGACAGTGATGCTGACTTGGATGTGGATGGGGATGACACTTTGGAGTACGGGAAGCCACAGTATCCTTGGAGCACTGTGGGACAAGGTGGGGCTGGTGAGGCAGGCCAAGTGAAGTAAGAAAAGTGATTAGCACCTCTACTACTGTACCCCACCCCAGGGCCAGAGTCTCATAGCTTTGGCATGGGAAGCCCAAGCTCTCCTCAGGATTCAGCCCTCATGGCCTACTGCAAACTAGGACCCATTGTCCTTGACCACCATGCCAGATACACGGAGGCTGACGTCATCCCCTGCACAGGCGAGGAGCCTGGTGAAGCCAAGGAGAGAGAGGCACTCCGAGGCGCAGTCTTAAAGCAAGTGTGGGCACAGACTTGCATGGGTGGGAGAGAGGGATGGGAATCCTTGAGGCCAGGGTTCCCCTGGACCCCCTCAGAGCTATGCCCCCTGCCTTCAGGATTCACTTTGTTCTATCTCTCTCCTTGCTTTCCTCTAGTGGCGGCCCTCCCAGCACTCGAATCACGCCTGAGTTCTCTAAATGGGCCAGTGATGGTGAGTCCTACCTCAGGTTGGGAGAGAGGGCATCCCTGGATGGTGGTCTCTAACTTAGTCCCAGCCCCTCACCTGTGCGGCCCGTCTGGCCAGCATGTGAGTTGCCCCTCTGTTCCAGCAGAGATGCCATCCACCAGCAACGGTGAGAGCAGCAAGCAGGAGGCCATGCAGAAGACCTGCAAGAACAGCGACATTGAGAAGTAAGTGTGGGCGGCCAGGGAGGGGCTCATGGGTCAGCAGTTCAGGGGGAAGGAGGGGGCCCCTTTGCTAGCAGGAAGACCTGCTGCCAGGGTTCCTGGCCCCTGCAGAGTACAGCTTAGTCCTGCAGCCCTGGGCACACAGCCGGCAGTGGGGCCCAGCTGGTGCTAAGAGTGACTCTGTGAATTGATCGCTGGGCCACTGCCCCGGGAGCCTTGGTGGAGGGAGAAGTAGTCCGCCTGCCTGCCTGCCTGCCCGCTACGGCGGCCTCCGCCCGGGGAATGTGATATATGGCCGCCCAGCCCAGCCAGCGCACTTGATTCATCTCCAGTTTCTGTTTCTTAATCGGGAGCTAAATTGGTTTCATTTTTCTTGTCCCGGGTGGCGCTCACAGTGGGTTTTAGGCAGGAGCATCAGGTCTCATCACTTCTGGTAGGAATTTTTGGCCTGTCTTCTGTGGCAGGGGAGAAGGGGCTCCATTAGCACTTCACCTAGGGCTAAGCAGCCTTTGGCCTGGATCCCTAGGCACCACAAGGACTTGAAATCAGCTGGTTACCTCACTCCCTTTAAAGAAGCCCAAGCAAGGCCAGTTCTGGACCCAGGAGGTAGCTGGCATTGCCTGGTGTAGGCTCCCCGGAGCTACTGTCGTTGGCCATTGCTTAACTCTCTTCACATACACCCTCCACTGGAAGCTAGGTTGTGTGGGGTTAAAAGGCAGCCTCTTCATTCCAGGTTCAGTGTTCCATCTTGCCTCCTGCCAGCAGAGTGGATTGCAGGCCGGTGCAGGGCTGGGTCGGTGGCCCAGGGTCACCTCCCATTTGTTTCCCTCCATTTTGTGTTGTCATAAATTCATTCCAGCCCGTTGTGGTTGATCAGTTTATCTCGGCCGGGGCCACGAGTGCTGCTGGCATGATGTATGGGCCGCAGCGCGGGGCCCGGCTGCCCATGAATCACCGCAGCTGCTCCGTGTCAGCGCCAGAGCGGGCCGCACGGGTTCGGCGCAACCAGCTTGTGGGGGGGAGGAATGACGTATGGATGTTTATTTAATAATTCTCTCCTACTCCAGCTGAGCGGGGCAGGCGGGGCCGTAAGGGGCGCCCACCCTCGTCTGGAGGGGCTGCTCATAAATCAGAAAGACAAGATCATTAATCAGGGATGGCGCCCGAGGGGGAGGTGGGGGCCAGAGCCAGTGGCCATCCATGAAGCTACTACCCACCTAAGCTGGGGGATGTCGGGATTCCTGTCCCACCTGTGTGAGCACAGGCACTAGTGGGCGGGGCTCTCTTGGACTAGGTAGGAACCGGATCAGTCACATGCAGAGATCTCCATTGGCTCTAGATCTGCTACAGTTGAGGCCCTTCAGTCTCCATGGCTTCTCCCTTGTACACCGAGGGAGATGTGTTTCACAGCCCAGGGGAGGTGAAAGGCAGGATGCCAGGCTTCCTGCAGGAATCTCTGACCAGGCAGGGACAGACTACCCAATAAGCAAGGTAAGCACGAGCTGACATGTGCTTACTTAAAATCTATGATGGGAAAATACATGAAACTGTTCACTACAGATTAGTAAGCACAAGGCAGCCTGTGCTTGCTTTGCTTACTGGGTACTCCATCCTTGGCAGGATTGTAAATTTGAAAAGAGGCTTTGATTCTATAGGAAGGTGCTACGGGTTTGGAAGAGAGACAGATGCCAGCCATATCTAGAAGCAGAATTTTTCATGTGAAATTGTTCACTAAAGATTAGTAAGTGAACCTAAGCTTACCCAGCTTACTGGGTGATCCAGTACTGGGCCCAGGCACAGCTCCTGACCACCCAGGTTAGGGTCTGCAGAACTGGATATCTCACCAGAGCAAAGATCAGAGGCCAGGTGTGTTGAGCAAATCCAGGATAGGCTGGGCTCTGAATTGGATACTGGCCTCAGAAGGAGGCCTTAGAAGGAGCCCTGGTGGTACAATGGTTATCACTCAGCTACTAACCAGAAGGTCGGCAGTTCAAACCCACCAGCCTCTCTGTAGGAGAAAGATGTGTCAATCTGCTTCCGTAAAGATTTACGGCCTTGGAAACCCTAAGAGGCAGATCTACTTTGTCCTACAGGGCTGCTATGAGTCAGAATCAGTTTGACAGCAGTGGGCTTGGTTTTTAGGTTTGGTGGCTTTAGAGCTCTTAGACATGGAATGGGAAGTCTCTTCATTCTCTCCTAGCCTCATCCCTTTAGACTTTTCTGGCTCTAGCTCATTCATTCTTTGGTTTGGAATTTGGAAGTTCTCCATTCTGGCATAAGCCTTAATTCCCCCATTTTTGAAATAACCACCTACTTCTAGCAGAGTCCCAGCTTGGTCCTTGGAGAGGGGGGGAGCATAACCTCCCCAATACTATATCCTGTCACCAGCGATCCAGGTGGGAACAGCATATATGGTCTTGGGCAAAATGCAAGGGAAGGAGCCAGATGTGCAGGTACTTGTGAAAAGGGTGGAGGGTGAAGGTTCCAGAGCTGAAATGGTGAATGGAAGGAGCTGGCATGGGGGCCTTTCTCCACTTCCCTGGAGAAAGGCAGGGCAGAGAGAATCATGGACCATGGGGTGATAGCGCATACCTGATAGTGGGACACAGCCAATAGGAGCCACATTCTGTGTTGCTGCTAGTGCCTCAAAACAGAAAGGTCAGAGATCAAAGTTTGTTGGTGCCCCTGGGATTTTACCACTATCTGCGATTTCCCCACATCCATCCATAACCTCTCCCCACCTCATGCCCCCCCCCCCCCCCCCCCATTACCATTATATCCAGCAGTAACAACCTGTAGCTTTCCAGTCAGTTTTCTCTCTCAAGCTGGCAGAACAGGCCACCCCAGGAAACTGTCTATGCCTAAACCACATCTTACTTGTGACTAGGCAGTGGTCTCCATCCCTAAGTAAGTCCAATCTTTGCTTCCTAATTGAAACATCTTTTAAACCCCAGCTCTTATCCTGTCACACCCCTCTTCCAACACCCTGAATGACTTCTCGTTGCTGTAAGATAAACTTCAGTTCCTACTTGTGACATCTGAGGTCCTCCCAGGCACAACCCTTTTCTCAACTTTAGTACCTTCTGCTTACCTACAAATGAGCCTTCCAGCCAGACAGGACTCCTGGGCTTCTTGGCCCTTATTTCTACTGTTTTCTGTACCTGGAGACCTGTCTCCTCCTGGGTACATCCAGTATAACAATTAATCACACAATTGATCATGGAATCAGTTTGAATCCTATCTCCCCTACTCTTTGTGAACCTTGGACAATCTACTTTTTTGTGTGTTAGTTTCTTCATGTAAGAATCTTTTTCTGGGGCTTTTGTGGGAAGTAAATAATAATAATTAATCCCTCAAAACCGAAAAACCAAACCCACTGCCATCAAGTTGATTCTGACTCATAGCGACCCCTGTTGGGTTTCCAAGGTGGTAAATCTTTACAGAAGTAGATTGCCCCATCTTCCTTCTGCAGAGTGGCTGGTGGGTTTGAACCACCAACCTTCTGGTTAGCAGTCACATGCCTTAGGCACTACACCACCAGAACTCCTTACTAAACCCTTAATACCCACCAAAATCAAACTTACTGCCGTCAAGTAGATTCCAACTCACAGTGACTTTATAGGACAGAGTAGAACTGCCCCATAGAGTTTCCAAGGCTGTAAATCTTTATGGAAGCAGACTGCCACATCCTTGTCTCGCAGAGCAGCTGGTGGAGTTGAACCTCCACCTTCTGGTTGGCAACTGAGTGCTTTAACCACTGTGCCACCAGGGCTCGCTGATACCTCAGTATAATCCCTGGCATTTAGTCTGTGCTCAGTAAACTTTTTAGCTATTTTATTTGTATTATTGGCACTTTATTCCGTAAGGCCCATCTCTAGTACTGTTTTCTACTCTAAACAAACAAACAAAACCAAACTCGCTGCCATCAAGTTGATTCCACTCATAGCAACCCCTCCTTGGGTTTCCGAGGCTGTATCTCTATGGAAGTAGATTGCCCAGTCTTCTTCCTTCCAAGTTTTTCTCCCTCTTGTGAGCTTGCCAAGCGCTTGTACCTCTTCAGTCCTGTTCCTTTGTTTTAGGGGATCACTCCTTTGACAGTCCTAGGTAGTCAGTAAGTCCTTCGGTAGATGTAGGGACCTTGCTTGTGCAGGACTTAGACAATAGGTAAGGACTACAAGGCATCTGATATGCTTTGGAGGAAATCACAAAGAGCCTTGGGGTATGGGTAGGTCAAGCCTATGGCCCAAGGTCCTTGGTTATATGGGACTCATCCAGTCCCCATACCTCTCGCCCTTTCTTTTCCTGCTGGTTGGAACAGCTCTTTATACAGCAGATGTGTCCTCATAGTTCACGCTTAGCATGAGGAAATGACCCATAGTAAATATCGGGTAGTTGAGTAGCCTGCCTGCAGAGAAACTCAGTCTGGCACAGAAGACAAAGACATTTGTGGTTATAATGTAGTACTGTCATTGCTGTAGTGGTGTAGCACAGGACACTAAGGGCACAAAAGAGGTAGTCACCAGTGGTGGTGCTGGCTGACAGGGCTGGAAAAGGCTTCTGGGAGGAGGTAGTAACTAATCTGGGCTTGAATGATGAAGCAGAGCTAGATTGGAAGTAGAAGGGTCCAAGCAGAGGAAGCAGAAAGTGCAGAGGCCAAACATGGTAATGTGTGTGGAGATTCTGTCGTAGTTTAGTGTAGATAGATCATAAAGTACGTGGCAGGGTGGTGAGGGATTCAACTGGCTGGGGCTAGACCTAGGAGGGCTTTGTAAGCCTTGTTAATGGAATTTGGTAGAGCTTTACTTTGAGGGAGCCATTGAAATGTTGGAAGTAGAAGTGATCACATTTGCATTTTACAATGCAAGTTCTGTCTGCTCTAACAATGGAATTGAAATGATGGGTCTGGAGGCAAAGAGGCTAGAAACAACTAGGGCCTAGACTAGTGGTAGTAGGGGTGGAAAGAGATATTTAGGTCAGTGGCAGATGTTAGGTGTTGGGGGTGACTGAGAAAGAGTCATGGAGAAGGATTCCAGGTGTCTGGTTTAGAAATTCACTAGGATGGATATTACAGGAGGAGGAGCAGGGAGTGTAAATTCAGTTCTGAGATGCGGAGTTTGCAGATAGGGGATATGGGAGGAAGTGGGAGGGCAGGAAAGATGTCTGGGAGACATTTATGTATGTGGTTCTGGAATCCAAGGGCAGTATGGGCTAGAGGTTCAGATTGGGGATTCTAGCCTGCTGCCCAACTATGCTATCCTCTTTACAGAATCACTGAAGATTCAGCTGTGACGACGTTTGAAGCCCTGAAAGCTCGGGTCAGGGAGCTTGAACGGCAGTTATCTCGTGGGGACCGTTACAAATGCCTCATCTGCATGGTAAGTGGAGGGGAACCTAGGGGTGCCCTTGGTTAGAGCAAGGACAAAGTCTTCTATGTCTCAGTGCCCTGTGGAGGTGGAGAGAGTCTCTATGCTGTGATCTGGGCTTTCTGAGGATGGGCCAACCTCAGAATGACCCCCTTCTCTGCCTACCTCCACCCTAGGATGCATACTCGATGCCCCTGACGTCTATCCAGTGTTGGCATGTGCACTGCGAGGAATGCTGGCTGCGGACTCTGGTGAGGTGGCATGGGGTTGGGGAGGGAGTGGCTGTTTTGGCCACTGCCCAGATGCTCATGCTTAAGCCTGCTTGAGGGTTGGGGGAAGCAGGAGCATAGGACTGAGCCAAAAGCCAGGATATTTACCATCACCCCTTCATGGTCACAGTGTTCATCCCCCACCCCAGGTTTATTAAATTTTCCCCCCTTTGCCTTCACATTCTTCCTACCCCACCCTCAGAGGACTCACTGCATCACACATACTGGTGAGACTGCAGGTCCGGAGGAGGCTGGTGGTAGGCAGGCAGGACTTGAGCCTCAGCCCCTCCCATTACTAAGCGCCTTCTACTCCTGCTCCTGCCCCTGTTCTTCGCTTGGGAGCAGCCATTAAAATGTCGCCTGGAGACAGCAATAAAAGGCCCGGACGTGGGCTCTGTGTCCTGATCAAAGGCCGTGTGTAATCTTGTTAGGGCTGCAGCAGCCACAGCTGGACCCAGCCTTGTTCTCATTACTGGGGCTCCTGCTGCGGGGCTGGCCAGGCGGTTTGATCCTGGCGTCCCCCCAGCACAGGAGCATGCCTGCCTGCTTGCAGAGGCTGTCCATGCATCCTCAGTCTGGGCTCAGAGGACCAAGGACCCAGCACACTGATGCAGGAGACATGGCTGCAGGCCCAGGTACTCACATGTGCAAACCTGTGGCATGCTGTGCATAACCCAAGCCTTCCCTGCTCTCCCTACAGGGTGCCAAGAAACTCTGCCCTCAGTGCAACACGATCACAGCACCCGGAGACCTGCGGAGGATCTACTTGTGAGCTCACTACCCCTGGCAGGCCTTGCCTCAAGCAGCCCCACCTGCCCCCAGCCTCTGTGACAGTGACCCTCTCCCCCTGTACATACTTGCACACAGGTTCCCTATGTACATAAATGAACATTCTCTCTCTCTCTCTTTCTCTTACACACACACACATACACACACACAAACACAAATACAAATGACTCTGGAGCCAGAGTGGAGGTTGAGGCCTGGGCCCTGCCTTTTGGCCCCCATGAAAATTGGGGCCCATACCTGTTCCAGGGTGGGGCAGGGGTGTAGGGGGCAAGGCTCTTGAGATCCTGCCCCCAGACAGACAGATGGACAGACAGACATGCAAACACCAGACTGAAGCACATGTAATATAGACCATGTATGTTTACAATGTTGTGTATAAATGGGACAACTCCTTATCCTCTAGCCCTCCCCTCCCCCTTTGGTTGTATGATTTTCTTCTTTTTTAAAGAACACCTGAAGCAGTGCCTCCTTCAGGGCTGGTTGGGGGCTCGGCCCATCCACCTCTTGGGGTGCCTGCCTTCCCCACCCCATGGTGTCCCTTCCCTCTCCCATGTGCTCGGTGTTCAGTGGTGTATATTTCTTCTCCCAGACATGGGGCACATGCCCCAAGGGGCATGATCCTCTCCTTAGTCTTAGCTCATGGGGCTCTTTAAAAGGAGTTGGGGGGGCAGGAAATGGGAACCGAGCTAAACCAGGGGCTGATACTGGGGCTGGATGAGGGTGCTCCTGGCTGCCCAGCCTCTTGCCAAGAATTATTCCTGGGATTAGAGCTGCTGTTCCCAGGGAAAAGTGTGTCCCCTGCCCCCAACCTCACACGGGCCCCATGGTGTGATGCTGTGTCTGTATATTCTATACAAAGGTACTTGTCCTTTTCCCTTTGTAAACTACGTTTGACATGGATTAAACCAATATAAACAGCTGATGCCTCTGTGTATGTGTAGGGAGGGGCAGGTGATGGGGGTAGAGGGGACAGTGAAGGGGTTAATCTTGGCAGCAGTGTGAGGAGACCCTTGCTGTCCTGTGTAAAGCTAGGCAGAAATGGTCTAATCTGGGGCCCTGGAGCACTCAGGCTGGGATGGGGGTGGGAGGTCCAGCCCTCTGACTATTGATGGGTAGGGCTCCAGGTTAATTCCTTATCGATGCAGAATCGTCAGCTCATTAATCACAGAAGAGGTCAGAGCTTGGGGGTACAGAGGGGATGCAAACTCAATCCCCCAACCTAGGTCAGGAGCAGCTAGAGCTTGGAAGAAAACACAAGCCCGGCCATTCTAGTCCCCTGAAATGTGCCAGGGACTAAAATGAGATCGCCGTCTCAGCTTCCTATGGTGTGTTTTTTCCATACTAGAGCCCAACAACCCTATGTAGCTACTGCCTAGATCTTCAGATGGAAATGGTAGCAGTCCCTATTATCAGCGATGGACCCTAAAGTCAGGGAACTAAGGCTGGGTAGGAAGCACTTTGTCAGATCCATCACCTCCATTGCTCAGAACCTTCTGTGCTCCCAGTGCCAGTGAGGTAGTCAGCATCCTGCACACCTCAGGCAGGTGTTGAGAGCTGCAGGTGAGACTAGCAATGGAAAGCTAGTCTGAGGGAAAAAAAAAAAAAAAAACCTTAAGGTCCTGGAACATCTCCATCACTACAGACTTCTTTCCTGTATACATTCTCACAGCCCCAACCTCCATTACCCCAAGTCCCCAGCTGTAAACACTATCTCCTCTGGGATGCCCACCAGTGTGTGCTACAGTATTGGGTGGAGTTGGCAGCTCTTGCCTCCCTATGAACCCAGGTTAGCACAGGAGACAAGTTACTCTATTTGGAGCCCATAGAAGACCCTTCATAGTCTCATGCCCAGCAAATAGCACCAAATACCCTGAATACAAGATCCTGAGACCTGAGATACTAGGGAATGTATGTGGCGTCTGTGGAGGTGAAGCAGCACCAGGGATGGATGGCTGAGGACTCAGGAAAGAAACAGATTGAGAAAAGTGGAAAGATGAAGGCAGTGGAGAGATGAAGAGGAGGCTCATGAACCACCATTTCCCGTGAGGCTCCTTTTAAGTCTCTGCTTTCCCCTTCCCTGCCATGGGCGCAGTAGGTCCTTGACGGCTGGTTACCCACACCCTGGGGGCTGTATGCTCTCTAATAGAGGACATTAACCCAGAGTGAGGGCATTCCTCGGAAGCTCGTCCTACTAAGGGATTCTTGAGCTCTCAGGCACAGGCAGCACTGCCACCTGTTGGCCATGGCTAGGAATGCAGCCACCCAGCATAGGAACTGGCTGTAGCAGCAGTGGGGACCCCAGAGGGTGGATGCACATAGAGTTTGGCTCTGGGGACAGAGGGTCTATCATCCCAGACCTGTAACTTGGAGCTTTTTCAGCCATCTCCTTTACTGCCTGACAAACTTTCAAAGCCCAGCCCTGTTGCCAAGCCCCTGGATCACCAAAGTAAGTTCATTAAATCAACACATATTTTATTGAATACCTACTATGTTCCAGCCTCAGAAGGAAGGCTGGGCAATCCACTTCCATAGTAATACCTCCTTGGAAAACCAAGGAGGGGTCGCTATGGGTCGGGCACATACGTGCTGACTCGACAGCATGTAACAACTATGTTCCAGCAGTATGCAACGGTGACTTGTAGAATGATAGATGGTACAGAGCTGTAAGGCTGAAGCCACCCCCCCTGCCTTGAGGGGATCCAAATGGGTCTCCCCTGGATGATGGAGATGAAGTTGTTCCCACCAAATGGTCCCTTACCCTGGTGCTGGTCTCCAAGGGCTCCTAAGTTAGCTTGTCCCAGCTTCCTGCTCCCTACTCCATAAGCCCAGCATGCACACAGCTTGCAACTTTCTGGATCCAGGGACTACCTAGCACTAAGACTGATGTGCCAAGGCAAGCCTGTCACCAATGCATCTCAGCTGCTCACCTGGCTCCTACCTCTAAAATTCCTTGGCAATGAGGTCAGAGAAGGCTCTGAGAGAACCGTCAAGTGGGATCAATGGGGATGGGGCTTTACACTGTACAGCTTTCCCTTTCTGGGGCCTGGGAGCACAGGTCACAGGCCCTGCCCCAAGCCTGACCCTACCCTCTGGCACCTCCCACAAAACTCACCTACCATTCAAGGAATCAAAAATCAACTTAGGTTCATCCTCAACCCTACCCACTCTGATAGCCTTTTATAGCCTAAATGCCACATTTGTTGAAATGCAACCAACTGCAAGGTTCCCACAGAGACATGGCCAGGTATCCCAGCCCTTAGGATCCTGGGGTAAACAGATTACCAGTAGTTCCTCAGGACAGAGGCCCATGGGAATTTCCTACTCAGGGAACTACAAAGTTCCAAGGACTACAGGGAGGTGAACCAGAAGAGGGCCCCACGATATAGGTTGTGGGGAGATGTCAGGCATTTATTTTTGGAGCAGAGGTGAGGTGAGGCAAAGACCTCAGCAGTGGACACAGCTGCGCATAAAGCTGACACAGAGACTCGTATAGTAAGTAGGGTAGTCGCGGAGATGGCTGACATGTGCAGATGACACAAAGTCCACAGAGCGCACCAGGACCTGGTGTGCCTGGCGTGCCTCCACCATGCGTTCCACATCCCTGGCCAGGACCACCTCATCGGCCCGCGAGTAGAGGTAGAGCTCAGGCCAGCGAGAGGCTGAGTCCTGTAACCTGTCATAGAAATGGGTGTGGAAGAGGGCGGTGAGTGGAGCGAGCAAGATGTGGAACAGGACTGCCACGAAGGCGAAGGCCACCAGGAGCAGTAGGCGCAGCATGGCAGGCCGGTGCTCCAGGATGGCTGCCAGGGCCCGCAGAGCCCCCACCAAGTTGCTATCACCAGGACTGCTGTCAAAGATGGTGCCCACCACATGCAGGTGGCAGAAGCGCCGATGGGTAAGCAGGAGCTCTAGAACATAGCGGTACAGCATGACGCCGGCGTTGCTGAAGACATGGAAGAGCAGGGGCTCCTTCTCAATCTCGTAATCAAAGAGTAGCTCAAGCAGCTTCTGGGCCAAAACACGAAGTGAAGGGATGCCCAGGGACTCGGAGAAGAAGACCATGTGCCACGGGGCTGTGTATCGGATCACGATGCAGCCCTGGGGAGAGGAGAGAGGCCTGGTCGGTCCTCAGGGATGGACTGGGTGGGTTATGAGCTAAGGTCAGAGGAGTCCAGCAACCCCAACTTCTAGAGGGCCCACAAAGCCCCGCAGCGCCCCAGGCTCTCCTTCAACCTGGCTGCAGCTCCGGAAGTAGAAGGCCCATTCTTAGAATAATCATTTCATGTTGGCCGAGCCCCCTCAGCCTGAGAAAATATTTGAGGCCTGGAGCCCAGAGCATGCTTTGATGCTTTGGAGACACCTGAGCTGACCAGAAGGAAGTCTCCTCAACCTGGCTCACTCCTTGTCTCTTCCACCAGAGGCCTGGAGAGCCTCTCCAGACCGTGCAACCTCATCTGCCCAACTCTTGCACATTGAAGGCTTCATTGCTTGGCTACCCCCTGCTGCAGCAACTCTGTTTCTGAACATTTCCTACAAATAGATGCCTCTAGGACACAAGGAGATGCTCCCATGAGACTCAACCCCTGAAATCCAGTCTGCGGGCCCCAGTCCTGACCATCAGCAACCACTTCTGAGCCAGGCCCACATCACATCCATTTCTGGTCAGTGAGCCCACACTGTCTGGCCTCAGGAGCCTGACATGCAAGTCTGCCTCCAAGGCTTAGGCTCACTCCTCCTACTTGGCCTGAAATGCCAATAGAATAAAAGCTGTTGCTCCTCAAAGTCTAAAATTTTGGGCCCAAACCCCTCGAGGCTTCTGTATCTCTCAATGTCTGGGTCAAGTGTGCCCCTAAATTTCCATTCAAATTCCCTTTTGACCTGTCAGAAAGGGAGCCAAAGCCCCCCTGTCTGAGTCCTAATACCCTCTCATTTACCTGTTCCAGAAGACAAAGGACCCCTTTGTCACCAGAGTCTGAGTTGAGCAGGCCCTGAGATCAAGCAGGTCTGGTTCAATTCCTGGTGCCATCACTTATTACAGTATGGACAAAGAGCAATTTATTTCACCTTTCTGAATCTCAGTTTACCCATTAGTAAATTAGGGTAACATGCATCTCATAACTTTAGAGAAAATTAAATGAAAAACTGTATTTCAAGTGCTTAAAGCAACACTTGACGTAAAATAAACTCTCAACCAACAGTAGCAATAATTAGCAGTGGTAGTGGGAATAGCCATGGCATACCCCTCTGGGTAAGCACCCCTCTGGGGACTCTGAGGCAAGGCTTGCTGATGCTCCCTGCCCCGTAGCTCTGGGAAATTTTACAAGGTGCTCTGCTCTAACTTCCCAGAGGAATGCAGAATGTCTTCCCATACACCTCCGTCCAACCTACATACAGCACTACCCACAAATGTAACATGTGTCACCACTACCACCACCCGCAGCACTCCTGGGACTGAACACCTTACATCCCACAGGAACAGACACACACAGTACCCACGATCCACCAGCATATACCTGTATCACCAGTGAGTGCACAATAAAAGCATACAACCACTAAGACACACTCACAAGCATACACAGCACTGGTAGGTATACACATGTTGCACAAACTGCAGAAGTGTGTACACATTCACACACAGGCACACACATACAGCATTTTGTGGGATTATAGCCACCCACACAATATTACACAGTATTAGTGTTACTATCTATCTACAGCAATGCCTGTCAGTAATGGACACACAGTACGTCTGGGACAATGTGCATAGATCCACGCACAGCCCTCCTGCAAGTGTGGACACAGCAAACATTTCATGCTGCTGCCTATCTCATCAGCAGCACTGTCTACAAGGGCAGACAGAGTGTGCACACGTGTGCATACACATCCCTCACCAGGAGCATTCATGTGCAGAACCACTTGCTGGTACAGACAGAAACCCAGAAATTCCTGTAAATGTGGCATCGATGAGGCTACACACAGTCCTCTGAACACCCAGCACCCAGAGGGCACACGGCTCGCCCTGTAAACACCCAGCACACACCATGAATGGACATGCACACCAGACTTCCCTACAGCCCATGAGGCTGGGCACTTCTGCTGCCACCTCCCCAGTCAGCTACTCCTAGAAGTCACCGCACCAATGGTCTGGCTCTCGCTGCATGACAGATCCCACTCTCTTCCCCGGCCCCCCACCCAAACCAACCATCTTTCCATTTCCGCATCTGCTTAGTCCCAGGACAAGACCCTACTCCTCCACTACTCCCCTCACTCTCCTATATTTTCAGTCTCTTCCTCTCTCCAGATTCCTGTTCAAACAAACCTCACCAAAAGCTCAGCCTTTACAGTGTGTTCCCTTCTAAACTACATACCTCCCTCTATTCACCTTCCTAGACAAACATCCAGAAATAATTTTGACACTCACACTCTCTACTTCCTCCCCTCCCACTCACTTCAATCTGACTTCTGCCCAACTCCTTCTGGCACTGCTCTTACCAAGGTCACCCATGTCCTCCCTACTGGTCAAATCTAACCAACGCCTTTCAGTCCCCATCTTACTTTGCTTCCAGCAGCATTCGGGATCACGTACTCCTTGAAATAGTCTCCTGCAGCCCGGGCTCTTCAATGAGTCAGTGTCAGGAAGAAAGGGACTGCTCAAGATTTAAAAGAGGCTTAATGCTTCCATAAAGATTATAACTATGGAAACCCTACGAGGCAGTTCTATCCTGTCCTATAGGGTCACTATGAGTTGGAACGGACTCAACAGCAATGAGCTGTTATTTTTTTAAGGAACAAAATAACAAGATGCAATATGTGGTCTGGGATTAGATCCTGGTTTGGGCAAACCAGCTGTAAAAGACACTTAGAGGACAGTTAGGGAATCCGAATACAGATGGAAAACTAGATGAGATGAAAATTTATTAACATGGGAAGGTGGAGATCATGATCTGAAAAAAACAGGATACAAAACAGTATATTCACTAGATCTCATTTAGGCAAAGAAAGGGTACACACATATGCACATAGAAGAAGAGCTGGAAGGATATATACTAAGGTGTAAACAGAGGTACTCGAAGTGGTAGGATACCATGTTTTTATTTTCTTTTAAATAATAAAGGATTAGGAGTTTAGACTTGGAAGAAGTTTCTCCACAACCATCCTATCCTCCCTATCAGAAGGTAAAGGCACCCTCTTCTTTTCCAATCTATCCCAGCACCAGTCCTGCAACCCTCAACCCCTCTGCCTTCCCTGGGATCCGACTCCATTACCTACTCCCTATGTCTTCTGTCCCAATTATATCTTCTCTCCCTCCACAGTGGCCCATTTTCCAAAGACTCTCCTATGTATTCTGTCACACTCTCCTGGGTTTCTTGTCCATCTCTGCACACCTCCTTTTACCTGTGAGACTCTCATCATTGTCCACTCTCTCCTTTCCCTCTACACTCTCTCTGGAGGATCTCATCAACCCCACAGCTTATGGCTTCTCTCCCTGTAACAAACAACTTACTTCCTCTACCCAAAAACTGCCCCAGCCAGAAGCTGGACATTATCCTGGACCCTGTCCCTAGCCCTCAGCCCCACACCCAGTCTCTCACTAAACTACCATCCTACCTCCTAATAAGTTCCTCAGTCCATCTACTTCCCTCTGCTTGTACTACTAGCCCCAAGGTCCTGACCACATTCTGTCCTGGGTCACAGCAACCCATTCCCTCCTTCCAGTCATGGCCCTTCCAATCCTTCCCCCACTCTGCATGGAGGGGCTTTCAAAAGCACAGACCTAACACCACACCACTGCTTAATCCCCTAAAGATCCCTAACCTCATTTCTCTACCTTTGCCCTTCCTTTTATCCTCTGATCTAGTAATACCCAACTATTGCTATTTCTCTGTCTGCCCTCAAGGAACTTAGTCTACTGAGGAGTCCAGACAAACAAGCCTAGCTCATTGGGTAGAATTCAGAATAAATGAAACTACAGCAGAGTAAGGTAACCTATAAAAGGTGACAGCACGCAGGGGACATCAAGCTCAATTGGCATAACATAACACTGTTCCACCTTCTACTTTGGCAAGTAGCAAATGGGATCTTAAAACTTGCAAGCAGCCATCTAGATGCAACAATGGGTCTCTCCTCGTCCAGAACAAGTAAAAATGAAGAAAACCAAAGATTCATGGAAATAATTAGTCCTTGTGACTGGTACACTAAGCGATCCTCAGTCTATACGACTATGAGACCAGAAGAACTAGACGGTGCCCAGCTACCACTGTCAACCACTCGGAGGGGGGTCTATGTAGGAGATTCTGGATAGAGAGGGAAAACAATGTGGAACAAAACTCAAAATCATTTGGGGAAAAAAAAGGGAGGGGGGGGTACCAGGTTTGCTGGTCCGATAGAGCCTGGTGGAACCACTGAGACTATGGCCCCTAGCTGCCCTTCAGGTCTGGAACTGAATCCACACCTGTGGCTTCCAGCCAAACAAAAGACAGGCATATGAGTTGAACATTTACCTGAGGTAGGTATACTCCTTGGAGAGAAGAAACGTGGGAGAAAGAAGGGCTGTTTATGCACAGGAAGACAGCTCAGGGAGCAGGAGTGCATGGACAGATGGATACAGGGAAGAGGAACTATTGAGAGGAAGTGGGAGGGGAGCTGTTGCATGGGGTAAACTGTAGTCAATGTCATGAGACAACGTGTGTGTGAACTGCTGTATGGAAAGTGAATTTGCTCTGTAAACTTTTACCCAAATCACAATTAAAAAAAAAAAAAAAAAAAGGTGACAGCAGAGGACTTGTTGGTTGGAGGGTGGCCTCTTGCTCACGCATTTTTCTCCCAGCCCCACTTCCCTTCCAGGTGCACTATACACCTTGGGCAGGATACAGGCATGGGTCAATGGCATGAGGGAGGCTAACAGAGTAAGGGTAGGGGGTGCTGGACTGCCAGGCACGCACTAGCCTTTCTCTCAGGTGACTCCCACTCCTCTTCAATCCAGGGCTTCCAGCTGGCAGCTGGTGCTGTCTGCACTGGTGCCCCTGCATGAGGCTGCTTTGGTCTCGGCTGAGGAGGGAAGGGCCAGGCTGGAGGCCAAAGATGTGAAAAGATAACCA